TATTTTGAATGGCTAAAAAAGTCAGAGATTCAGAAACTGTTACTGATGCCCTAACACACACCCAAAACCAGAATAGTTGTGTGAGTAGGTAAAACATCTCAGTGAAAATCAAGTATTTCCATGCGATAACATACTTGTTAAGCAGACAACAGGGCAGTATTTGATTCTACATAAAAGAAACAGATTGACTGGCATCTTCCCTGGATGTCTGTTTAGTGGGATACCCCTAAACCTTTCTCCGAGAGAAACAGAAAGCAACAACACAGGGAAAGTTTGGCAGAAAGAGAGAAAAGATCTCTTCACTTGGAGGGTATTTTTGGAACTGGCTACGCTTTCCAGGGACCCAAATACAGCCTGATACATTGAGCTACAGAGACAACATATTGGTTACTTTTATTCTTCTCAAGCTGATTTATGGGGATGACACAGGCTGTCCTTAAAAAAATCAATTATCTGTAAGAGAGCCCAGCCAGTAAATACAGAAAAGACATTTCAGAGTTATTTTACACATTAAATTTCTTTCATAGAAATACAGTCCTAGAAGGAAATCTAAAATGCAAAAGTAAAAGATGGACTGTGTAAAGACCGTGAAGAACTGAAGGGGAAAAAGCCCCTAACATTTTGAACAGATAAGAAAATCCAGTCTACCTTCTCAGGGTTGTATGTGCTAAAAATTCAACACATACCAGAAACAGTTGCTAAAGAGGGACGAAATTAACAGGAATGACAATTTCAGTTTTGGCATTTCCTCACCTTTCCATGCTTGATTTTACAACCCAGAAAATGTTAGTTAGTTTGTTTGTTTAAGCAGCTTTGTGATTAGATTATGAAAGTAGCTCACCAGGCCGCTCGGTACTTCTGGATGGTCTCATGTGGTACCAGTGGCTCATGACCTGAAATAAGAACACCTGCTAAAGGAAATTCAGGGAGAATCTGCCACAGAGCTTAGACCAGCACTTGAGCGCTCGTCTCTCTGACGAAGCTTGAGCACTGACTTGTTAGAAGTGGCAGATGCGAGGGAATGGAAAAGGCTCAGTGAGGACAGACTCTGGCTGTTTTAGCTGCTTAGTAGAACCATGTCACTTCCCAGCACACACATATCAACAGATTTCAATCACCTGACTCATAACTCAGCTCATTTAGATACATCATCGTAAGAACATCACAAAACCCAACAACCCTTAACAGATTTCCCTGACAAATTTCAAACCCCTTTTCTAAATTAAAGAGAACACTGAAGCATTTAAAGAAAACACCAAGAATTTCTTTGATATGAGGAACTGAAACAGTTTTCCATGAAACATGAGCTAGCTTCTCAGGAACCTTTACATAAAAGAATGAAAAGAATAGATCTTACTAAGCTCCCCCAGCACTCAGTTTCAAGGATGAATCTCGTGGGGCAGTTAGTTGTGGCTTGTTCATCATTCCCACAGGATCCCACAGCCAGCAAAGGCAGCTCTGCCTCCTCAGCCCCCAGTCCTACACCCTCCCATTCCCCAGAGGAGAACATTGGACTGGGAGTTTGCCAGCAGGAAGGAGTAAGAAATGCACACCCAGACACATACCTGCTGGGCATGACGCTCTATCAGAGGCATTTTTAGCCATATACATTCAGTACAGATAGTAGTTTTAAACTCTGTGTAACAGGACAGTATAAGGAATTTTATTTACAGAAATAATTAAATAATAAGAAATATTAACATAGCTATGAAGTAATTCTCTTACATGTATTAGACTCGCAGGTACCCATAAAGTCATATTACTCTTTCCTTTATTTTAGATTTTCCCATATTTTTAATTCTTCAAATTCCTCATCATTGTAATAAAAACCTGTACAGACCTCGGTTTCAGAAGTTGTATTCATAACCAATGAATGCTTGTTTTTTTCTTTTCTTGCAGAACAATCATTTTTCTGACTTTCTGGACAAAAAAACTGGCTATACAACACTGAATATGTTGGCAACCCCAATTATGCAGGGCAAAGAGGTGCTTGCTATCATAATGGCACTCAACAAACTAAATGCCACTGAGTTCTCAAAAGAGGATGAAGAGGTAATAAGCTCAAATGTCACACAACACAGTCCTGTTAGTTCAACAACTAGTTAGAGTGAATCTACCTTTTGATTTGATACTTTTGTCTTTTCTTTTGCTCTTTGTCATTTTTAGGTCTTTAAAAAATACCTCAATTTTATATCTTTGGTCCTAAGAAATCATCATACGTCGTATCTCTACAATATTGAATCCCGAAGAAGTCAGGTATAGGAGAATTTGTTAATGATAATATTTTGGGTTTGTGTGAAACCATTATTATTCCCACTATTATTCCCAAATGCCTAGGATTCCTGTGTTTTATGCTTTCTTACTGTTGTCAACATTTACCCTCTTTCTCTTTTGTTGTAAATAGATGCTTTTGTGGTCTGCCAACAAAGTCTTTGAAGAGCTAACGGATATAGAGCGGCAGTTTCACAAAGCACTGTACACTATTCGAATTTATTTGAATTGTGAAAGATACTCCGTTGGTCTGCTGGACATGACTAAGGAGAAGGTAACAATCATTTCGCCTGCTTGCTAGCTAAGTGCTGCTCCTGACTTTAAGTCATAAAATCCATCCTTCTAATTCATTGGTTCTGGATATTTCTGGTGCGTGTCTCTCTAAGACATAAAGATACCATGTTTCTAACCCTTTGGGATCATTTAGATAAAATCTAAGCATGTTACAAAAATTACATGCAAAATATAAGCATGGCAAAGGCAAAGGATACAACCACAATAAACATAAAGGCAAATTCTGAAATAATTTTTCATATTAATAATTCCATATGAGAAAGAAGTGCAGGTATGATTATTGATTTGTAAATACCTACCTTCTAAAACAACAATTACGCTGTGCAACCATCCAGAGACAAGCCTCAGATTAGCCTGCAATTTACTGGCAAACATTTCTTGCCCAGAATGTATTTAACAATGTTTTCTTAATATTGTCTGAAATGTGACCAGAGTACAGCTACAGAGAAGGAAAAATAAAACTGCTATCCACAGATGTCATATACCTATGAACACAGAACTGCTTTTTTTTCCTCTTGCTAAATCCTGTTTTCATTTTCTCAGGAGTTCTTTGATGAGTGGCCAATCCGGCTGGGGGAGGCAGAGCCTTACAAAGGCCCCAAGACACCTGATGGACGAGTGAGGATATTAATTTTTCTATTTTATGAAACTTAATTTTGACATTGAGGCCGTACAGGTCACCTGCACATTTTTTTTTCTTTTTATTTAGGAAGTCAACTTTTATAAGATTATTGACTATATTTTACATGGAAAAGAAGAAATCAAAGTCATTCCGTGAGTATTCATTGGCAGCCTGTGAATGTGTGGTAATTAGACGCGTTGCTGGGATAGAATAATAACATTTCTGTATTGTAGAAATCATTTTATTTCATTCTCTCTCTAAAGGTCACCTCCAGCAGATCACTGGTGTCTTGTCAGTGGATTGCCAACATATGTTGCTGAAAATGGATTTGTAAGTTCATAACAAAAGTAAAAATGAAAAGTTTTAGTTCATGCAGTTCTTCTGCTTGAACAAAAAAAACCCCAAACCTCCCCACAACCAAAAACCTCTACAAAAATACCGTGCTGCTTCCAGTGTCCCTGGTTCCCAGTGAAATCGTGAGTCAGTGGTCTGGATGGGGACAAGCCCTCAGCACAAACAGCCACAACATCAGGAAAATTTCCCTCTGCTTGTGGTGACATCAGAGGAGTAATGTCTGTGTCTGATGTCACTTCACAGGTTTGCTCACTAAGTCTCACAACAAAGTGTCAAAGTGAAAACATCATCATATACAGTTTTACAATTTTCTTCTTTCCTTATATCTCCTTGCATAGACAATATATGTAATTCAGATTTGTGATGTCTGACAGTTATTAGTAATCCCATGGCATTTTTGACAGTAGTAAGGACAGAGACCTTAGTGCTCCGCTATTTCTGTCTATAACCCCTGTGCCATTTGAAACCAGGAGTGCATTTCTTCACCATCACAGCTGTGCACTTTGAGACACCACACATGAGAGACTTTACTACAAGCACTCAGAATGAGGTCTGTTAGAATAACCACATCTAATTTAACAGGAACAGTTTTAATTTCTGTAGCTAGTTTCAGTGCTCACTGTCATTAGCTTAGAAAATAAATATGCTTTTTAAAAATATCAGCCCAGGTCTTGGTGCACATTATATTCCATTTAAACAATGTCTCCTTTTCTTAATGCTGCAGATTTGTAACATGATGAATGCACCAGCAGATGACTATTTCACATTCCAGGTAATTCCAGTAATGTTAACAATTATAGATACTGCAGAAAAATATACTAGTGCTTCCCACCAATTATTACACTGTTGATTACATAAATAATTTCTCCTTTGTCTGTGATGCATAGGCCTTAGCATTACATCACCTATATCAATAGCTGTATTGCTACTTTCAAAGAAATAGACAACATTTCCTGTTCTTTGGCTTTCCTACAGAAAGGACCAGTGGATGAGACTGGATGGGTTATCAAAAATGTCCTGTCACTGCCTATTGTCAACAAAAAAGAAGAAATTGTGGGAGTTGCAACATTTTACAATAGGAAAGACGGAAAACCTTTTGACGAGTATGATGAACAGATCATTGAAGTAAGCTTAACAGGATTAGAGGCTTTAAGGAGCCAGATGATGTAATAAAAATATTCTTCTACAAAGTCATTTTAAAATGTCTGAAAATTTTCAAATAGGCTTTATTAACACCTAACCAAATGTCTATCCTCTTCACTATAGTTTCTTAAGAATCAGAAATTTTATTTCCCTTTATAAACGTGAAAATTTATGAGAGATCATTTACATTCCACTAATGCACAAAAGCCAGACAGTATTTTATTTGTAACCATTTGACTTTTTAGTGATAGTCAGCATCTCCTAATTAGCAGTGGGTAAGCAGGTAAGGTGTGCTGCTTGCCAATGGGTACCATACCTGTGATCACAGGAGTTCCCAGAGGGCTCGTGATCCCAAGCATTGGGCAAGGTAAAATGCCACACAACGTATCCCAGCCCTCTCCACAGATGTCAGCTTCATAAGCCTCACAGTCCTGCATAAAAAATGGGAATATGAGCCCTTAATTATGGGGCTGAGACAAACAATGTCGTTAAAAGCTGCGAGGTGCTAACAGAACCAGTTGGTGGAGGGTAAAGGTCTCTAACAAGCAGACCTACTCTTTGCTTTTCAAAGGGCACTACCACAAACTGGAGTGTAAGAAAAGCAAGTTCAAATTGTCAGTTTAATTTTATTGTCATGGTGTCATTTTCACTTTGCTTTGCTTTGTTCCAGACTCTCACACAGTTCCTGGGGTGGTCCGTTTTAAATACTGACACTTATGACAAAATGAACAAGCTTGAAAACAGGAAAGACATTGCTCAGGAAATGCTTATGTACCAGACAAAGGCCACCCCTTCTGAAGTGGAATCTATACTGGTGAGTTTCTGTCCACAGTCACAACACTAAGGGAGGAAATTTGCTACACAAAACCTGAATTTCTTACTCATTTTCCTTTTTAGAAATACAAGGAGAAATTAAATGCAACTAGTTTAGAAGAATGTGATCAAAAGGATCTTATCAGGATTTTGGTAAGTCATTAAACTGAAAATTCTGGTAGTATGTTTATATCAGATAGTAATATATCCTCATTAGAGACAAAGTTGTGTTAGCCAAATCCTGATTAACTGATTTTAGCTGCCAGTTTCACCAGCTGGACTTGGCTAGTCAGAGTTATATAGAAATGTTTATGTGAATTAACATTTTAAAAGTGTCTAACTTCAAATATCCATAGGGACAGTGCCATAGCTATAACTGAATTTACTTAATATTGAAAGCAAAAGAAGGAACGTTGATGTAAAGTCACTTTCATTCTGGGTAAGAGAACACACGTAGGAGTGTCCAGTGGAACTAACCTACTTTTGGATTAATTTTCCCACATTTCCTTAGACAGAGAAGTCCAAAGACAGTTATCAGTAACTTCACAGTGATGAAATAAATGCGATCTAATCAGTTAAAACTCTGCTACTACTAACAAAAATGAGTCACTTTCTTTTCTAGTCTGTGCAGTCTTCTGGCTACCTCGGTATTTCAATTTCAAATGGGAGTGCCTTTTTGGAGGAAAAAGTGCCCACTTAGTGCACTTTGTCTTTTCTTGTGGAGCAGTCCTGGAGCACATGCACTGGCTTACTTTGTCTGAAACAAAGCTCAGAGATGTGCTACAGGAAAACACCAAATGAACTCCCACTGTTAATGGATCAAAGCAGAGCTAGGCTGAAGAAAAAAGGTCAAATACACACAAACCTGTTGATTTCCGGTACTAACCACTTCACATACTATTCCTATCACACCACATTTGCTAATGTAGACATAGCCATAGGGAAAAGATCTCATTAAACTATTTGTATTTACGTGTATGCCAGAATGCAGTGGTGTTATGGTTTTATTAGTTCCCACAAAACAGATGCTCTCACAGCTTAGAAGTGGTGAAAACAAAAAACATCAACAGCTCATGTAGCGCTTAACAAACTTAAAGTAAATACAATTTAGCTGCATGAAGAATTGCAAAAATGAATAGGTAAACATCATATAATACCTCTGTACTGAGAAAGCAATAAGTGATTATTAGGGTAGAGGCTCCAAATGTAAAAACATAATACCAATATGAATTTTTAAATCTCCAAAAAGCAATTAAAATGAATTCTCTCAACATTATGGAATCACAAATTCAGAAGTCTAATATCTTCTGTACTCCCAAGGCTACATGCAAATGCTTTATCCTATTATAAGACCTGGAATCTCAGAGAGCTAATGGGATAAAGCAGGTGTTTCTAGATCTGATGATTCACAAAGTAATGGGTCTTAAAACACCAGTGCTCCAGATTTCCTTGCCCTTGACCTCAGATCAGAGTAGATATAAAGGAAAATCCCAGGGAGAAGGAAATATTTTTGCATGGATGTTCAGCCTTCCTTGTTTGTTGAAATACATTCATACATTCAGTATCTTTTTTCCTCATCCATGAAATGGAGATCATTTACAGACTACTATGGTGGAAGGGAGTCATTGTGATCATATAATCTATTTTTTGCATTGCATCAAATCACCAGCACTTCAGAGGTTAAAAAATGTATGGTAATCTTTGCTTGCCTATAGCCTCTGAAAGAAGCCAAGGCTACGGGTAAGTAGGCATGCAAGCAAGCCTTTTGTTATTAAAAAAATGTTGTTGCTATACTTGATTCTAATGTAAAAGTAAAAAATGTTTTGTTCTAGACAGGCTGGTTTTGGTCACTATATTCATCACTATTCAAAAGATCCAAAAAGGAAGAAGAACACTTAGCAAGAATAATCTTGGTTGTGGAAAAGATGAACTGCAGCCTTGAGACCAGGCTAAAAGTGGGAGAACCATAGAATTTTGTACCAGGAAGGAGAAAATTCCATGACCTGAGATTTCTGAAGGAAGGAAATGTTGAGGTGGTCACAACAGACTGTGTTGGAATTCAGAGCAGGAAAAGGAATTCAAGCCTTTAACCTGTCCTCTTTGAGCAGAAAACCAGCAGTGTCACAGTTGTGTTTTGTAGCTTAATGCACATCAGCCTGCACAGAAACCCAAGGCATTTGGAGATACAGTGTCCTTAGGCAATGTTTCTACTGAAGCCAGAAAAGAAAAGAAAAGAAAAAAAGTTTGCCTAACTTTATTCTTGCCAGAAAAAAAACCCTTGTGTTTTTGACTTTTCCTAACAGAAAGAAGAATTACCTGATCCAAAAGATTTAGAACTGTATGAATTCCGCTTCAGCGACTTTCCTGTTACAGAGCACGGCCTGATAACTTGTGGGATACGACTGTTCTTTGAGATAAATGTTGTTGAAAAGTTCAAAGTCCCAGCTGAGGTCTGATTTATTTTGTTGTGTTTATATTTATTTTAAGATTGAAGCAAAATAGCTCAGTGTTGGTACTTTAATACAGAAGTAGGCAATACCAAAATATGAGTGGTATGGGTAGCAATCTTCCATTCTTAATTAAACATTTGCATATTTGTCATAAAGACTTAAAACTAATCCTGAAATTGTGTGAGCTATGGAAGGAATTAAATGAACATGTATTTATGAAAGAACAATTTGCTGTTTCCATGTTTAATTCAATGAAAAGCAATTTTCATAGAACTTGCACATTATTACAGTAATTTCAAAGTATATTCCAGCAATTTTGTAGGAATTCCATCATTTTCTTTCAATGAACAGCACAGCCTTAATCACTCTTGTTGGTACTAGGTCCTTACAAGATGGATGTACACAGTCCGGAAGGGTTATCGAGACATCACGTACCATAACTGGCGACATGGGTTCAATGTGGGACAAACCATGTTTACTCTGCTGATGGTAAAGTTGCTAATATTAACCTTACATTCATTATTTAGTTTTCCTTTCAGTTCCAACTGGAAAATTCAGGGAGGTGCACACTCAGAATGGTCTGTTTTCTTTTACAGACAGGCAAAATAAAGAAATACTACACGGATTTAGAAGCCTTTGCCATGGTTGCTGCTGCTTTCTGCCACGACATTGACCACAGAGGGACCAATAACTTGTATCAAATGAAGTAAGTACAAATCCTCAAATATATAGATATCTAGTATTTTTAATGGCAAAAAAACCATGTCAAAGCTTGCAAAGCTGTAAGGTATATATTCCATATTCACCTGGCATGAATGAACATTTATCCTAGGGAAGATTTCTGCTTCTGAGAATTTGCCGTGACAGCTGAAATCTTCCATTTAGTCTTCTTTCATTTTGTGTTAGGGCCTGTTTCTATGTGCTGGCTGGAGAAACATTTCTCAGGATGTTGTGTGTACCAAAAGACTATAACCATGATTTTCTGAGCACAGTTTCCCACCAACTGTGTCTCCAGAATGATAGATCCTCCTCCTCCAGCCCTGGACACGCCTCTCCCCAGAGAGGCATCTCAGCCCGCATGCTGGAGCAGTGACACAAGAGGATTTTCTGATTATTCTCAGGGATTCTCCAGGTGACGTAGAAGAGAGAATGACAGACGCTGATTCTTATTCAGCAGGCTGCCTCTCATCCAAATAAGTTTAGGGAGGTTTTAAATCTTCCTACTGTGGTCTTCCCTCGCTGAAAGCCGTCTATGTGAGGTCATATGCAGTGAAGCTATTAATAAAAGTTATCAGGCTTTACCATGACAGTCCTAAACACAAGTCAGAAAATATAGGTAGCACGTAGCAATCCACCTTGGCTTATCTGAGGAGTGGAGCTATTAGCCAAGGGAAGAAAGGAGGAAAATACACTTCCAAATACGCAGAACCACCTGGTGCCTACATCGATAGGACATTTCTCCCTTCCTACCACTGCCATCGTCTGATGCAGAGTTCCCTCTGCTTGAATCTTTGCCCAATGTCAGAGGAATGCTTTGAGCTCTGTGATAAGACTGAGCACACTGGAGCTGTCAGGACTTGTGCAGTCCATGAAACGGTGATTTTAGGGGATGGGAGGAGCCCAAGGGCATTAGAGGAATTAAACTCCATGATACTGTTACTTTAGATTTAACTAATTTACAGTCAGTTAGAACCACAGGGGACGTGGCCCACAGTTATCACAGATGAGTTCAAAAGCCATGCTGCACAACAAATACTAAAAGATGCATAAAGGCTGTTTTTAAGGTACACAGAAGGTGCGTAGATTAAACAAACAACAAAACTGAACATGCAAGCCAAAATAGAGGCTTGTCTTTAAAAAGAAGAGTTTTTGAGTTTTGAGGCATCTGACCATGTCTTTGACTTTAGAGGGCACTGAACACTCAATGCTTTCCAATTTCCATCGTTCATCAGTCACAAGAGTGAAGACAAGCAAATATCTTTTTTGCTCTACATCATACAGGTTAAGATAATACAGATTAAACTACTGAATGTTTAGATCAGAAGCGTTTTAATCAAAAAACCCTGAATCAAAAATATTGCCTCCAGAACATTATAAGAATTGCTTCTGTTTCAACAGGTCAGCTGCTCCCCTGGCAAAGCTTCACGGCTCCTCCATTTTAGAAAGGCATCACCTGGAGTACAGTAAAACCCTACTGCAAGATGAGGTACGTCTGCACGAGCCTTCTGCTCACACTGATCAACACAAAAGATCCCATCAAGTTATGACGTTCCAAATTTCACCATGTCTTATTCATTCCTCTAAGTCCAATTATGCTAAAATTCAGAAGTTTAAGTCAAATGTATTGTCCACTTTTAGAGAAACATCAGTAATTCTGCCAGAAACAGACTCACTCAAGACAGAAAAGCTTTTTCCCTGGACCTCACTCACACTCCTCACATTTTTTGCACTTTCATGAAACAGCTGATGTTGAAACCAAAGTAGAAAATACAATTACATACATACAAAATTCTGTAATCACACTGCTGCCTCTGGTTCAGGAGGTCTCTGAGGAGCAAAGGGATGGAGCTGTTCATGGAAGACACCCTCAGGCCAGGCCCCACACCCCTTACCTTGCTCAAAGGAGGCAGTATCATGAGGATCAGCTGCAGCTCCCATTACTGATCCTCCCAGAATTTGGCAGGCCCTTCCCCAGCAGCTGTGGAGGTGAGGCCCCCCCCCAACCCAGTCTCCTCAGACTCAACAAATGGCAGCAGCGTGGCCCACCTGGGCCCTCTGCCATCCTTCCCTCAGCACAGCCTGGCTCTGCCCTGCCTACAGTGAAAGACACTATTTACAAATTTTTACCACATATTTTGCAGAGAAATCAGAGATGTAAAAGGCAAGTGTTGAGCACATGCTTCCCCCAGCCCACTTGCTCACTGCAGCGTGGCAGGCACCCGCTTCCACCCCCATTTTTCATTTTCTGATCCCTGTGGTGGTGCCATTTCCTCACCTCAGGAGGCCACAGAATAAGTTCTTAAACTAACCAGTAGCACAATGATCATAAAAACCCCAGAAGATTCATAGTTTAAAAAAAACCCCAAACATTAAACCCCCCCAAAACCCCAGAAACCACCTTTACCTTTATTGATGGCAATATACTTTCTCAAAAGCGAGATGGCAGGGAGTAAGCCCTGCTCTTTGCTGGAAGGGGTGTCAGGATCTCTGGAGCTCTTCACAGTGGCCTCCCTGCGCCAGGTGCTCTCACAGGGACTGTCCCCTCAGGGAAAAAAGGAAAGAAATCCAGGACATTTAGAAAAATGCCAAGTGTGACATTCTCATTCCTTCTGCCTGAGGAAAAGGCCATGGCACTCACCATGGCAGCTCCCTGTAGCACTGCAAGCCACGAACTGGAGGAAAAAGTCTCTACTGTGCTTTAAAAAGTCTAGGAAAATTAGGTGTATGGAATGTGAACTGTAAAGAAATGATGAAGAACTGCCATTTCTTTACTAAGTATGTGGAATGCAGGTGGTTTTCTTTGGTTTTAATTTATATGTGGCAATCGCAGTATTTATAACTGTTTTGAGTCACTGTGGATTTATTTGTGTAGCCTCTGAGGGCAACATCTGAGATCCATCTACTCTCCACACAGTTAATTAGCCATTTATTAGCCATGAATAAGGGCCATCTTTACTGATGGAATAACTTTTCGTTTGTGGCGTCATTTTAATTTAGGGACTGTAGTTGCCCAGTTTTGTTATACTATTCTAAGACAACCTGTATAGTACAAACCAAAGCCAGTGTTATAAAAGGAATTGAATTCGTAAACTTTCCATCTTGCAGAGTTTAAACATCTTCCAGAACCTAAATAAGCGCCAGTTTGAAACTGTTCTACACTTATTTGAAGTTGCAATAATAGCAACTGACTTGGCTTTGTATTTCAAGTAAGTACTAAATTCTGTATAACTTCCTACTGAAAAAATGTCAATCCTATAAAATTTGTAACTGTAGTTTTCCATTGTTTATATGCAGAGTACAGAGCTATATTTAAAATTGTTATTGTCTAATTCTTGTAAAAAAAAAAAAGACATTCTTAGATTGATGATAAGCTTTCAAATTAGAGAACACAGAGATGTATATAAAGCTTAGTATACATTTAGTAGGTCATTCAAATATGCTTTTTGTTACAGCAAACACTGTACTTCAGAAGTGTGGGTTCTATAGCCAAACTGTCAGGTTGTGTGCATGTGTGATACTGTACTGTAGTACAATCAGACTCAACAGGACTGTGCTTATGGAAATTACGATGCTGTTTTAAAAACAAACCAGCAGACATCAACAGATCCCAGCACTAAATATGCCAAAGACTCCAAATATCAAATCACCTGTCCTCTTCCCACATTATTGACTTACTGTGCTTTTATAAAGAGCATTTTCCTTAAAGATATATGGAGCCTTTTGTTTTGATACAGATGTCTTATGACTGGGACAATTTAAAGCCAGGAGACAGGAAAACAACTCAGTAAGTTGTTCAACAGCAGTTATTAAATTTTAGTGATCAGTAATTCCATTATTTCATTCATTCTAAATGCAAATTAAGCAATAGGAAGACACGTATTTTCAAAGTTCTTCTCAGTCACGCCTTGCTTAGTGCTGCTTTGGATTTTTGAAGGGAGGGAAGGGAAGAACATTTATCAATATTTGCTTCACTTCCCCTAATTCATTATGTTACAGAAGTAACAGACGTAATACTACAGAAATATGAATGTCACTCCAGTTTAATATGAAGAGTTAGGAAATTAGGTATTTATTTTTGTTGTCAGGTATATAGCAAAATCTGTACGTGCTAGGTCACCTGAAAAGTTTGGGTTAAACAGGAAGAAGGTGCCACTTTAATACTCCTGTGACTAGGATGCTACTCTGGAAAAGCATAAATATTAGAAATATGGTATTCTATTTAATCTTTTAATGCAGAAACTATATATGGTTTATTGGTATGTTTTAACAGGAAAAGAACTATGTTTCAAAAGATTGTGGATGCAATTGAAAAAATGGAATCAGAAGAGGAGGCAATTAAATATATATCTATTGACCCAACCAAAAAAGAAGTCATAATGTAGGTGGTTAATATTTTATTCTTTATTCAATGTAAATGAAGACTTGGTGTTGCTGCCTGATGATGAATCTAACCATGTTTTTAAATTAGAAATAGATGGCTACATTCTTCTCACAACATGCATCTATCTTCCTCTTAGGTATCTAAATGCCTTAAAAGATCTAGGATTTTTTTTTTTTTTTTTTTCCTAATCCTTGTCCTAATGCCACCCCTGTTCTGTGTGGTGTTTTTGAAGGGCTATGATGATGACGGGATGTGACCTCTCTGCTATAACCAAGCCTTGGGAAGTGCAAAGCAAGGTAGGTACCTTTCAAACAGCCAATACTGCATTTGCTATCTGGTCTACTGCCTGGTTGGTCCATGATAATGAAAAAAAAAACTACTTATGATCATTTTATAGATATTTAAGTATCTGCACCCAACTGTGTTTCCAGAAAACAGCCTCTATTTTTCTCTCATTGTATGTGTAAGGGTTCCACAATGCCTCTCTACAACCACCCTACAGTTGTTCCACCCTTCCCTACTTGTCCTTCCGCTGAAACTGGCATCCCTGATTGTGTCAGCTGTTCTAGCTACCCTTAAATATCACTCTGTTATTTTTGTACTATCCAATATTTGCTATTTTTCAGGTATTTTTCAGGGACAGATTTAAGAACAGTGTGATTTGAATTAATTGTGTCTATTCCATTGATCTTGGTGTCATTTCAAAGCAGCTTAAACACACTAAAAATAAACTCTGATACAGTGTGCCACTGCTTTGTACATAAGTACTTCAGTACTTACTGACCATCTTGCTGAATCCCATAACTTAGGTTTAAAGGAATAGCTTTTAATCAAATGCATAATCAAAACAGAACCGCATGGTGCTTGTGGGGCCTTCTAATAGATATGACCGGTGCCAGAAGATCCCCTTATGTTGCTAATAGTGTCTTTTCCCTGTTGACAATAATCTATCATTTCCTCAGCATGCAACAGAATATTGGTAGAGATAAATTGCTGGAAAAAGCCTTAAGAACGCCAGAGAGCGCCTGTAATTTTTGAAAGAAGCAATTGACTACCTCTACAGGGACTAAAGAGTGGAATTCCGTTGTGTTTGACCAAAACTTCCTCTTTCTGGAGAACTTTTTAAACTACTCAGAGATAACACAACTAGCAAGAAATAAGCCGTCTCTTTGTGGAAGGGAAGTTATCAATGCTATTAAGTAGTAGACAGTAATATGCCAGTTCTTGGTTAATCAACGTTTTCACAATTTTCTGGAAAGCCTTGTTCTTTTATTTATTTAAATTTACCACTTTCTGCTGACACTTCCACTGAATTGTGATTATTCAGGTTGCCCTCATGGTTGCAAATGAGTTCTGGGAGCAAGGTGACCTGGAACGAACTGTGCTACAGCAACAACCAATTGTAAGTACTAAATAATTTAACTGTATTAGGCAATATTAACTGTTATTAAACCACTGACTAGATAATGGTCCATGATGCTGACTAGAACGTTATACCAAAAAGCATGGTATCTACATGATCTAAATTACTGCTGTTCCCTTCTAGCCTATGATGGACAGAAACAAAGGAGATGAACTACCTAAGCTCCAAGTTGGTTTCATAGATTTTGTGTGCACATTTGTGTACAAGGTAAGAATAATTATTTTGTTCTCCCGCTGCAGTAGTTCCGATGACACAATTAGTGACAAAATCTTGCAGTTAAAAACTTCTAGAGAGTGGTAGGACTCTTGGTCACAGGGGGAACAACCGTCACAACTGCCACAATTTTTCAGTCTTGCTCCCACAAAGCAAATTCCAGAGATGTGAAACAGATTCATTAGAAGTGAAGAACCCAGTGAAACTCGATGGCGCTGAGGTTTTGTTACTACCTCGAGAGACTGAATCAGAAAGCCCAGTCTGATTCTTCACAGTTCCATTTAATACAAGTATGCACCATGTGGTGGTTACAGAAAGCAGTTAATGGCACAGCAAGGGAATAGGAAACTTGCAATACTCTGGAAATACAGTTATCCAGTATCTTCCATATAGCACTGAAATGCCATTATTAATTCCTGTCCAGCTTTTCATATTATCACAAAATCTCATGCAGAAAAGCAACATGCAATATTTTCACATCTTCAGATGCATCCTCATTGGATTGAAATACACTATAGGATACTAGACTTTTTTATTATGACCTGATACTGATAGGCATATGGTAAAATACCATGTATCATAGTTATAATTGTATGATAGGAATCAGACTATCAGATATGGATTTAGGGAAAGTACTGAAATGTGCAGTATAGAATTCAGAGGTTTTCTAACTGATGATGCACAATCAGGCATTATTACCCCAACACAGTATTTCTGGTAACAGGCCACCACTGCGTGGTCAAGAATGTGCTTCCAAATGTGCACCAGCAGGTACTCGCCCTACTTCTTTTAAAATTCTTCCTCTTCTCCAGAAAACCCACTAGCAGAGATGGAACAAGTGCTTGAAAAAAATGTGAAATCAAACACAATTAATTAATCTAGCATACGTACTGAATTAGATTTAAAAGAACGAAAGCTAATGTTTCCTCTGCAAAGCAGCAGTATTTCCACAAATTCAGACTTTACAAATCATCAGTGTTTATGGATTTCTAATTTGCTATTTAAATTGTTTGTATAGGAATTCTCAAGGTTTCACAAGGAAATTACACCTATGTTTGATGGTCTTCAAAACAACAGGGTTGAATGGAAAACAAGAGCTGATGAGTATGAAGAGAAGATGAAAATTATTGAGGAACAAAAGAAAAAGGAAGAAGAAGCAGCTGCCAAAAAAGGTTAAGTAACTTCTAAGGTTTTCATTTATATATATTTGTAAGGCAGCCAACATATTCTCTGTCTCTCAAATTCGCACATGCAGCGCATTCGTGCAATATTCTAGTAAACTTCACACTAATGGTATGCAAGTTCTGAATTAGCCAAATTAGCTTTATCTTTACTTGGAAGAGGTGTAACCTTTCAAGATGAAACAAATCCAGTACACTGACCTCATTCTCTAAACTGCAGAACAGCAGAAAATGTGACCATCACAGAAATGAAGGGAATGTAAACTTTCTTTTGCCTTAAGTCTTAAAACTGAATGTAATTAAACACTTATTTACCTGTAAACACTTCAACCACCTGAAATACTAGACACGTATCAAAATTCTGTCTGGCATCAGCCCCAAAATTATTCAGGGGCTTTGTTCAAGCTGAAAATGAAAAGCCTAAGGAAGAGATGGGAATGGATAGAGTGCATTTGGAACTTTATAGAAAAGCAGTGCAAATCCCCACTTCTCTTCCAAGTTTAAGATCAAGCTTTTGGCTCCAGCTCCCTGCCATCAGGTTCTTGGCTGAAATACACTCTCTCATACTACAGATTTAACACTAATCATCCTAAAACAGCCCGTGCTCTGAGACAGGAAGCATGGCTGTGCGTAACAGCACCTGGTGTTACAGAAGCTGAGAACCTGTCACTCAAGTGTCAGAGCAAACCGAGTCAGTTATTTGTAGTGGGTGCTGCCTGTGGGACAGGTCACCAGCTCTGCCCATCACCTGAGGGGACTCAAAAGGTTCAGAGAGGAGAACAAAACACGTGTGGTTACTACAGAATGACTTACTGTCAGCTGGTTTGAAAAAGAAAAGTTAGTCTACCTTACTCTACATGTGAGTTTCACATCTTTAAAGCATACACCAGTACTGGACAATTTATTTGTTAATCAGTGTATGGTGAGCATTCATTACATTTCACACAAAACAGAGACTACTCAGGGCCACCCATCAAGTTACTGTCAGAGTGTGAAGTGGAACTAGGGAGTTATTGGCTCCTAAAATAAATTACACTAGGCTAAATTAAAAAAAAAAAAGTTGTTAAAAAACTACTGTAGGTTACATTATTTAATCAAAGCAGATTTTTGAAGATGTTTAATAAACCACGTCAAATATAATTATTGGAATAAAATGACAAGAAATATTTTGGCCTACTCATACTGTGATACCACTTACACACATGTTCACAGAAATTATGCACACCCCATTGCCTCCCAAATCAATTTTTAAAGACACTTTTTTGCAATCAATGATATAATCTTACTTATTTAAGATTAATTTATCACTGAGTACTAGCTAGATGTGAATATGAACAGAGTACTCTATCCTTACACTGGAATGTAAGCCCCTGAACTGCACAGAAATGCCAGGAAACAAAACCAAACCAAGGCAGGACCTACACACAAACCTCCTTGTACATTGGCTCTCCTGGCAAAGAGTAACGTTAGTACAGTCTTATCCTATCCCTTAAGCACAAGGTTCTAAAATAAACATTAAATTATACATTTAGGGAGATTCAGGTATTTCTACTCCCATCTGAAGTTAGGACCATCTCACATCACTGGTATTTTGGAACCTCTGCGTCGCTGACCTAGGGAAAGAAGGATTTGCCCTTACACCAGCAGGGACAGACTGATTTGCAGGACTAAGGGTCTGACCTTTCCATACCAGAACTAGTATCACAAACTGTAAGTCAATTGTTTTGCATATTTCAAATGTGCACTGGGACGAGGCCATGCAGGTTGTGAGGACCAGACCTGACCCTGGCAAATCAAGGCCGTGTCAACACACAGGTTTGTTAAGTGGGTTCATACAAACAATCACTGGATACCACAGGGGTTTCTCTAGATCACACTGACCCCGCTATTCTTAGCCAGCCAGTAGGCACAAGACAAAACAAACGTGTTTGCTGAACCACTACAGTGGAAAGTTCAGAACAGAAACTAAACCGGAATACAGTATTAAACTAAGAAAATAAAATACTTGGTTAGTAACATAGTGTTGATTATATCCACCAATTGCAGAGGGTAGGACACTGATTATGTGACATGTTTCAATGCAGGTGGAAAGGGTCGAAAATGACCTAGTAACATGGTGATCCACAGCTTTCAAATGTAAGTTTTAATTCTAATATTGGTATCTTACCTTAAATGAACCTGGAAACGCAATTTGTGACATGGAAAGAATCTTAACTATGACCAATGAATATCTGTGGAATCATTTGAGAGAGTCTGTAACAGAACCCGTAGCTCTAGATAACAAACTTCAAAAGTCTCTCTCTCCCTTAACTGGTAATTACAAAGGAATTCTTGCAGGGTTGGATAAAGGCTTATACAATTAGGTCAAATTAAAGTTTTTGTAGCATCTGCTTCAATAATAGATTCACATAATATTGATCCAAGAGTTTCTTTCTTTTGCATGGCTTGCATACCGCAGTTTTGTATGTGTGGGACAGAGTTAAATATATCTCTATAACTACTGAAACTTTCCAGTAAGAGTGGTTCAGTGTGTGTTTGAGCACTCCTACACCACAGACACAGATGTCTACATCCCATGTGCTATTGCTTCTTATCCCATTTCCCCAGGAGAGCAGTGAAAAGCACATTCCATTTTCAGGTCAAACACACATAATACTTGTATCACAAAAGCAACACCTTTTAAACAAGAAACTAGAGCAGCTAAAATGAACAGAAAATACTCATTTTACTTTTCTTCTCTGTTTTTTAGCTGAAAATGCAGCTGGAGGTGGTGGCGGAAGTGGAGAGGATGGAAAATCCAAAACATGTATAATTTTGTAATTCTTTGTCTCAGACAGTTTCTGCTACAGAAAAGCCATCTAGAAAGAACTTCACTGAGCCCCAGTGGATTTCTGCTTCACATAGAATAGTATAGATCACTCTCTTAACGACCCTCCTAAACATTTGCCATTTGTTGAAAATAATTTTTAATGGAGTCAATAAACACAATTAAAAACTGGAAAATTAAAAGAAAAAATAATGGTGCATTTGCCATTTGTTGAAAATAATTTTTAATGGAGTCAATAAACACAATTAAAAACTGGAAAATTAAAAGAAAAAATGATTAACTGTGCACTCTAGATATTTTGTCACGTCACTCCATTTATGTACAGCATTTTTATTGAAATATGTGACTTCTGCCCACTCCAGACAAAATATAAATAATTTTGACAGATCTCACATGAAATTACTGAGTTAAATCTAACATGTACAATTCAAACAAAAAATGTGATTTTCGTAACTTGTATATTTAGATTTTTATATTATGTGTATTTAATCTGGAATTGTCCTTTTCCTTCATTCTCAACACCACACGAAGCCCTAGGGTAGACACCTCCTTCCCTTTAGGGAAACTCACCACAGCTCCCTGGCTCCTGGCTCTTAAAGCAGGTCCCTGGCACACAGTGTTTTTTCAAAACTACCAGGGATAAATCTGTAAATTGTAGCCACAGCTCCAAGAACCTGCTCTTTTGCCCACGTGCAAAGGGCTCTGCCCACAGTTCTTGAACCGACCACCTCCAACTGGAAAAATCTCAAATACTTTGCACACAAGTACATGTTTGCTAAGATTGTCCACTGCTGGATCTACAGCCACAGGTGTGGAAAAGGCTCGTGTGCTCCCAGCGCACCTTGCTAAAAATGCAGGAAATTAAAGTACTTGAAAACCAATGAACTGGCACCGATTTAATCCTGGGAGGGCGAGGACAGCAGAGGTAGCACACATCAGAACTGACATCACCTCCCTCTCTGTGCCCAAGCCAGAGACCGCACAGAAATGAGCTCCCCACCAAACCCTCCTGCTGGTGAGGAAGGAGAGGCCACCCCGTACCTTCCACTGGGTCTCTCATCGCCGGCTCCTCTGCAGCCAGAGGGAGGAGAATGGATCCGAGCATTCACTGGAACCAGCTGCAGATCTAGGAGGAGATGGATATCAAACACAATTCCTGCAGAAACACCTCTGACACAGAGCCCCGTCCTTCCCCCTTCAATGAGCAGGTCTCATCGCCGGCTCCTCTGCAGCCAGAGGGAGGAGAATGGATCCGAGCATTCACTGGAACCAGCTGCAGATCTAGGAGGAGACAGATGTCAAATGCAATTCCTGCAGAAACACCTCTGACACAAACTGAGTCCCGTCCTTCCCCCTTCAATGAGCAGACCCAGGGGTTTCCTCTGAGGGGCCCTCAGCGCACACAGAGAAGGGAGAATGAAGGAACCATTTCCCACCGTATAGACCTCTCTAAGATTGCTCCACAAACATGGATACTGTGTACAACCACCCAAAATTAAAGGAAACCACCAAAAAAATCCCACTTATCACATCCTTATTTGTAAACGGACCAAATATTTTATGCAAACTTCATTCTGACACAAACCCAAGCACCATGTATTATTTTCTGTATTAAATGCACATACTAAAGACAGCTATTGCAAGGTTGTTTAATCATGCAATTTTATTCAAACCGTATTAAATACTGTGTTTACTATGTACACTGTACCATCTCCTACTGCAGCTCTGAAGACCCAAAAAGGAGTTAGTTATCCAGAACACCCAGTATACAAAAAATGAAGCAACAAATATAGTGCCAGGTTGGAGAGCGGCTGCTGGGGCGCGCGGCACAGCCCTAAGCAGATTGGGGAGATTGGATTTGACTCTCCACTGGGCTTGCGAGATGACAGAGAATTAACCTTTAAATCCACCTTCTTACCTAAAGCAGCCTTCATGCAAGGCTACGCTTATTTCTACTCAAGGACATCCTAAATATGTCCTTGTGCTGTCACCCATTATGTAAGTACAAACTGCTGAAAATGTAATAATGTTCATTAATGCTTATAAATAAGAGTTCTCAACTTACTCGTACGAGCACATGGGACGTGTTCATGAAGACACTGCGGCCATCTCTGCTGTCACATCTTCCACATCAGATACTTACTAAAAATACTTTCTATAAATATACCTACAGTGGAAAGTACTTATCAAAAATATATTTTATACAACATTAAATTTCCTCACACTAACATGAACATTTAATTAAAAAAAAAGTTTTTTGTTTAAATTCAAAGTAATTTTAACCTGCCAAAGAAAACAGCCACCGTAACCGTTTCTGTGCAGACTGTTTGGAAAGCTAAAATAAAGCATGTTTAAAGTTGTGTTGCAATTTGAAGAGGAAGCTGAACCCCGTAAGTTTCTCAAGCAATGCACATTCTTTACTTGTATATTTAGGATTACACTTTAAAGAAGGATTAACATCCAATCAATGCTAAGGAGATCAGAAACCATATATAACATCGAGTCACATGTACACCTCCAGTAGAAAGCCACACACTTTATTTTCCACGTCAAAAATTCCACCAACCAACCAGATTTTTCTAAGTGGAATTATCCGTAACATCATATTATAACCAAAATTTAAAACAAAGTCGCAATGAACTAAACTTTTCTAAGGGAGACATTTCAGATGGTATGGGAGACATTCAGATGTATGGGAGACATTTCAGATGGTTTACTTAATTCAAGCAAAATACGTATTTGATAATAATTGAACTTCTCCAACAGCATTTGAAAATACTTAGAGAGACTAATATCCGAATATTAAAGTCTACAGGACCAATACATTTAAGGCTATTAACTCCTGCTAAACAAATCGGAAATATGAATATATTAAAGTGTCTGGCTTTAATAACAGAATCTTCCAACATGCCCTTTTACAAAAAATCTGACAATAACTGAAGTTTCAGCTAGAATAAAAACCAACCAACTTCCCTGATGTAATGTCAATAAACTATATTCTTGTTTGTTTACATCCTTCCTCCTTTTAAGTTTGGGTGCTCTGTATCTTCTGCACCGAACTGAAAAAATTATTTCTCTAAATTCATGAGTCTACCACAGCCCACCACAGGAAAAAGGACGTTTTGAGACCCAAAGTCTTCTCCAAACAAAACATCCCGAGGATGGTCCATGTGAGTGACCCCAGCAGAGGTACACGGGCAGAGAGAGGGCTCTGGTCCCTAATTAGCACTGGATCCCCAGATGCTTGGCTTGACAACGCAAGAAACGACTGAGCCTAAATCCATTTCCAGTTTCAGAGAAACAAGTCTTGAAAATACTCATCGAACTCCTCCTCCCTGTAAAAAATACACAACCAAAGAACAAAACCGGTCAAAGAAGTGCTGCTTTGGATCTGCACCTCTGTACCTGGGAGAGAATCTGTGTGAAAAGATTCAGCAGACTTCTGAATAGGAGACTTCTCATTAGACTTCTGATGGGAATTTGCAGCTGGTATAGACCCTTCTGACTTATTCAATACATCCCAATACCCTGCCCGTTTACTCCTGAGACACTTATGGGGACAGCAGGGGCAGGACAGCAGTGGCAGTGGCCTGACAAAGCTGTCTTCTCCAGTGCTGTGTGTGTCTCCTCTCTAAGAAAACACACCTTGGTTCACTACATGGAAGGAGATGTGACATCATTTTAAATGTCAGAACATTCATTAAAACACCCAAGGAAAAATCTCTGCCTTTTCAGTTCTGAAGGGACACAGGATGCTTTATTAGCTACAGGTTCACTAGAGCAGACTAACCGTGATTTCTCATCTGCTTCTTGGAGAGGACCTTTCCAAAAGTCAGCGTCTGAAGGGCCATCCTGGGCATCGCTGTTATCTGAATCTGTTAAAAAATTAAAGTGCTTATGAAATAAATTTGAAAAGAATGTATCATTTTTTTAAATTTAGATGGTATAATGCTAGGAGCAATGTTTAATTGTAATCATGAGAATAAAAAAAACACTTTATTTTGCAAAAAGTAAAACCGAAAACATTTTCCAATGTTATTCGATGCAGCATCAAAAAGACTCTCATATATCAGGAACGAGCATTTTGGCCAAATATAACAACAATCATGTCAAAAACACTGATCTTGACACACCATCAGCATAGCACTCCCTTCCTAAAATGAAGGGTTTATAGCCATGTACCCAGGATTACAACACAGTGTCAGCTCATGATACGAAATGAATCAATTACTGCACTTATACTTGAATGAAAACTTTTATCAATTCTAACTTACCAGTGAAATTGTCAGAAAAGATGGATTGCTGCAGAACTGCTTTGTGTACGTAATACAGGAGTGAAAACCAAAAAAATCTTGTTATCAGAAATATACCCTAACCTAAACCAAACCCATCTTCCAGCAGAGCTCTCCTGAAAAGGCAGGGACTGAAGGGCATGCCCTCAGTGTAATTAACTGCCTCAGGTGCTCCTGTGCCTAATGGGGAAAGGCAGGGGCTGAACACATTCCTAGAAACATCCAGCACAGCAGAAACACTCCATCCCTTCCCGAGAGCCTGCAGTGGGACCTGCTGTCACCAGGAGATGGAGCTGGTTTCTCCAAACAGACCAGGGGCTGGTGCTTCTGGGACACTGGGACAAGTGGGGCCCAGGAGTCACCACCCACAGCAAGGAGCTCTCTGGGTGCTACAGGTGGCAGCTGGAAAGGACTTCACTTAAAGCCTAGGATTTATTTAAAAATCTATTTGTTGAGCAGAGTACATGTTAGTGGCAGCTGGAAAGGACTTCACTTAAAGCCTAGAATTTATTTAAAATCTATTAATTTGTTGAGCAGAGTACATGTTAGTATCATTCCTTGAAAAGAAATGTAGTACTTATTATACCAGAAAAGCACTTTCTTTACACAGCACAGATTTGCACATCTGGACCCAGGCAAATATTGACGTATCTGGACCTACGCAAATAATGTAGCTATTTTCACACCATCTACTCTTCTCTGGAACAACCTGACCTCTCATTTTTCTGATTATTTCCATTCTGTTGCCTGCCCACATTTTATTCCTTACTTAAAAGATTTCCTTTCTAAAATTCCTAACAGGTTTTTCTCCAATAATTTGTAGTCATTATTTTGACCCTTCACATCTCTGCTTGTTCTCACATGGCGCTCTTATCATCTTATAAAATATTAAAACTGCCAGGGAATAAAACAATGACAAATGCCCATGAAATAATACAACTCAGGACAAAACCATAAAATGCAGAAGATATTAAAATACTTTACCTTTATCAGAATTATCTGAATCTTCTGAAGAAACCTGATCTGGAAGAAAAAAAAAAAGCTTATCTTCTTATCTTGCTTTTATCCGTTATCTCAAATTGTTTACAAAGATATTTCTATCATGATGCATTAGCCATAAAGGTGCACATGCACATGCACACACCGTGCTCTCAAAGAAAGCGAGCAAATGCTGAAGAGATTTCTCTTGCAGGAGTTCAAAGGCCCTCAGTTCGACTGAGCTCAAACACGGTTGTCCCCGAAGCCCCTGGTGTAAAAAGGCGACCAGCATCCCCAAAAGGCTGTCACCACAGAGCCTCAGGGAACTCACTGGGAGTCAACCTCCAATTCCTGGAAGAGTCGTCCTTGCAATCTTTTTCAAAAGGTTCTCCTCTCTGTAAAATGTAGGAAATCTATCTTCTTTTTTTTCACCAAATTTTTCTATTTTGTGCACCTGGGAAATTTTACCTACAAAATTGATCTTTTTGACTACCTGTGTTACACAATCAAATTAGTTAGATATCTATATTTATACATAATAACATATCTGTATCTACATGCAAAACTCAGATTGAGTATTTTAAAAACTGAAGGTCTCAAATTTAAACTTACCTTCTTGGGTTTTTTTTTTGGACTTCTTTTTTTCTGAGCAAGATAATTTTGTCTTCTTAATTTTGGGCTCTTTAGAGCTTGGTAGAGCTGTGCCTCTTTTCTTGTGTGCTTTGACTTCTTTCCTCCTTGAAAAAAAAAAAAAGGATGTACAGCTTGTCTGTTACATGTACTCCTCAAACAACAGTAAATCTTAAGTATTTAGTTCAGTCAAACAGCTACCATTTTTCCTGAAACCTATCACTAGCTGAACTGAACTGAAAAAACCCAATTTAGTTCAAATGCAAAGTGGTATAGACACTACAGCTAAAGACAAAGGGCAGGAAATGCTAAAGCTGCTAAAATGACACCGACACAGGCAACAACCCAGTGAATTGGCAATAAAAGATTAAATAAAGAAAATAATTTTATAACATGCCAAATTCTTATTTATGCTGAAATTTTTTTCTTTTAGGAAACAACTTTGTATATATGTAATGAGAAAAACACTGCTAATATATGTTTTAAAATATATTTTCTTATTTGATAGCGACAAAACCTGAGGTAGAAGAATCTCAGGCCTAAGAACCTGCTACTCACGAAGAACCCATGTGTTTTATTTTCAGCAACACCAGAACAGAATCTATTTCAGCATAAATGAAGTTCATAATCACCCAGCTGAATTTTCCCCCTATTTGTTGTTCATCATAACTGTAATCTATCAATCATTCAGCCCCCATATTTTCAAAATATTTCATTACCGGTGATGGAAGTTCAGTTTGTAGGAACATTCTGGACATAGTCCTGAGAAATAGAGAATGAGAACGTGACACCCATGTATTTGGTAAGCATAATTAACAAAACTTATTAATATACATATAAAACTAGAGAGACACTAGGCTCTTGTGCACAAAAGAAAAGGCACCATTAGCTTGTTTGGCACAAAATATCTCTGTAAACTATGGTAAGTTTAATTATGTCATGAACATATCAAACTGTATACCATACTGAATAGGAAATTCCACTCAAGAGACAAAACTGAAAAAAGAAATGATTTAATGAAGAATTTTTGGAAGAAAACACAAGCATTAAAAATAAAACTAGTAGAGCTGAAAGTATGCAAGAAGTTGACTAGTCCCAAACCCTAAGGACTCCTGAGCCTCAGGACACCCAACTGATTAAGCAACAACGATGAAACCCTCCTTGCATTGCCGTGTTGTCCATTAAAACCAGCCATGCCTGTATACAAACCAGCTTAGAATCAGTTATTTTTATTCTATGACACCACCAAATATACAGCATGAAGTGCTCAACCTGTAACTGCTTTGTCACATATAATACTACTACTAGTAATAATAATAACAGATGTTCTCTCTAAATTGAGAGCATCACACTACCTGTAATTAATATTAAAAAATTATCTCCTATTCAGCATTTTGCATGAACTAACACCATCCCCGCCGGGTCTCACTCGACAGCTTCAGCAGCACAAGACATTTGTCTCTGTTGAAGTGTCCATACTTACTGAGTTTCACAAGCGCGTTCCTCTTCTCACCATGTTCAACGTAACCAAAATTCACCTCCCAGCTCCTCAAGCCTTCTTGCCCATCACAGTGCTTATTTCCACAGGAAAACTGACCTTTAAAGGGGTCAAAAACAGCAAACTGTGGTTCAATGATTAACAAGCATAGGTTTGGGGTTGTTTGGGGTTGTTCCAGTTTTGCTCAGTTTTTGGTTTTCGTTTTCCATTCCTTTCAAATAAAAAAGCCCAAGTCCAAAAGTAGCATCTAGATTAAGGAAACAACAACAGACAATGACACCACAATTGCTCACACTTGTCTAATACTGCATACTGGCAAAGAAAGAACATAACCTGAACCATGCTTTACAATGCACAGAGTAAGGAATATCTTATGAAATAATAAGCCTAATGCTGAACTCTGGAGAAATGAATGTCACTAGGACACGTTCTATACCTTAAACGATCACTTACTTCACAGAGGCTGACAGACCAGGAGGTGTGATTCAGGCATTCATCTTTAATGACATCAAAGCATTCAAAGGATCAGGTATGTACAAATTCAAATGCCCATGTCCTATTTCACCTCTACCCAATAAACTTGTTACCTGTTTTCCCACAAAAAACTTTTACCACTATCACCTTTTGCCTAAAATACCCTCTATTTTAAAATTTAATGCCTTACCTTACTATTCATGCTTTGAAAGCAGAGAAAAAGTACTTGGGAAGTCATGTCAAATATATATTTAAAATAGCTTAAAAGCTTTTCATTTTAAGGATTTATTTTCAGACCAACTAACTCACATGCCTACTATTCCCTGATTTATAAAATTTAAAGTAGGGTTTCTACAGTAACTTAAGATTTTAATTAAGAAAATGCCCATCGTGTGTAACCATTTATTGAAACTGGCAATGGATGACACCATTAACCGCTATTCAGGCTGCATTTTAAATTTCAGGAGATAGAACAGCGATCTCCAACATGACCTCCTGTAAACCACCTGCGGCAAAGGACTGCAGTGGGAGAGAAAAGCAGAGAAGGAACTAATCTGGCATTTGCAATTAGTAACACAAGGGATACCTCTCCTTTCACTCATCCTAACTCTTATTCTTCTCCCTACAAAGGGTGACCCTACAAAGACAGTAAAACCCAAGCACCCAAACGCGAGTAACCCACTGCTGGGTTCCCTTCTTACGCCCCAAAACACAGCACACCCCACCAGCTAAAATAAGCTCAGGCTCATTAGTAACACAAGGGATACCTCTCCTTTTACTCATCCTAACTCTTATTCTTCTCCCTACAAAGGGTGACCCTACAAAGACAGTAAAAACCAAGCACCCAAACGCGAGTAACCCACTGCTGGGTTCCCTTCTTACGCCCCAAAACACAGCACACCCCACCAGCTAAAATAAGCTCAGGCTCGCCTTTTTTAATGGGAATTATCAGACAAGCAGGTGTTAATGCTTTACTACATTTAACTAAAGCAATTTGTATTACCGATTTATATCGCCTTTTTTAATGGGAATTATCAGACAAGTAGGTATTAATGCTTTACTACATTTAACTAAAACAATTTGCATTACCGATTTATACCTTACAAATAGCAAAAGAAAGGCATTAAAGATTGACGCCTTTTCTAAAGGGACCATTTGAGCGGCCCTTGAGAGGAGCCTCCAACACCGGAGCAGGTTGAGTTCTTGCGCCCCCCAGTGGTGAAACCATTCCTCAGCGCCTGTGCTCCAGTGCCACGCTTTCCATCGAGATTCCATTAAAAAGCTTAAAACACGTAATTGTGCACTTTCTCCCACATTTTAAAATATGGAGTACCAGATATTAAAAGTAAAATGCAGCTTTTAATTTTTTCCCCGTGAAGACATAATTGTTCATAAATTACTAATTTCTCATTTAATTGCCTTTTTAAAGCATTCAATAAAGCATCTAACTATACCAAATGTAACTGTTTATATAATCTGTAGTGTTAAATGCAACATATGACTGCAACTATCTTTAGAAGCTTTAATTTTAGCTTGAAAAACCCCACCATTAATGTTTACACTTCCTCCTGCCAAATATAATTTTAAAAAAACCCCAAACAAGTGTTTTCCTAACTTCCTGTAACGTATTATAATGACTGGAGCTGTTTGTAGAACTGTTCTGTTCCACAGCATCACTCCCTGCAATTGTCTCGTACGTGCTCACACGACTTCTGAAAAGCACAAATGTGAAGATCTGCTGCAGGAACGGCCCCACATGTACACTGTTCTCTTGTGACAGCCCCCGTGCCCAGGCCTGGGGAGGGGACCACTCTGCACCGTCCCAGTGACCCACTGGTGACAGCTCACACCCAGAAACAGCTGGAATCCGTCCCAGTGACCCACTGGTGACAGCTCACGCCCAGAAGCGGCTGGAACAAGCTAATGATTCAGAAACATCACTGGGAGACATTGCACGTGGAACTTCAATTAAAAAGTCAACATATTGCAAAACAGCACTGGAGAAACTGTTAAGAAAATTATTTCCTGGAGAAAAAGTATTGAGAGACTTCAGTTAAAGGTATTTAGCTCTACTGAATTGGAGAACTACTGGAGGAAAGCAGCTAAAAACCATATCCCTGTAATTCTACGTTATCAAATAAATGCATTGTGTTCCTTACAAATCCGACCTTGTGAAAATAAACTGTATGTTCTTTTAATTTTAATATATGCAGATCAGTGTGCACACTAGAGCTATGTGGCATAAAACAGCAACGTTAGAAGTTACGTCAATTTATTGTCCATTATTATCTAAGGGACTTACCGGCATTGTCAAATACTGTCTAACAAAATTATGTTAAAAAGCAGCAAGAAAAGCATCAAGGAGAAATGTAATATAAAATTAAAGACATCATTACCTTTTCCTGAAATTACTTCTTTCTCGTGTCGCCATCTAAACCCAAACTGTTAAGATAAAAACCAAAATTAAACTATGAATAGTTATCCAGCAATGTAAAGACTAATTGCAGTTGATTGATGTCCTGCATGTGGTCCCATTCAACCCATTCAATCCTGGTTAGTAAAATTTAATTTCTTTCTCTGTTAATTAAAAACATCTATCTGCTTCTGCTTGCCAGAAGGATTCCAATTCACCCAGCAAATAGGAAATTGGGACAGTGTGGCTTTCCTAGACACTTCATTGCAATTTTGTCCACACTAAAGACAGAGAAGACCACTTGAATACTGCAAAGTCACATTAACACCTATCGACGGGTCACCTCGTACACCCTAAAGACTAAGACACACAAAACCCCCAGAAAACCAACAACCCACTTTTATTTCTCTTTACATTCCCTAGAAACTTCACATGCACCTAATTCATCTACTACTTTTGTTTTCCAGGAGAATCTGCTTCGTCGTCTCAAAATGGCAAGTAGCCTAGTGAAAAGGCTGAAGATGGAAGGGAGAATAGCCTGGGAAAAAACATTTTATTTTCACTAACAAGTAGAAAGAGGAGATTTTATATATTTTTATTTTTGCAGGAAAGCCTCCATGCTGAAAAACAATGACAAAAGCGAAGACATTAAAGTTACTAAGTGGAAGACAAGTTGGCCTAGAAATCTGAAAATGATCTGGGAATAAAAACAAAAGAATACATTTTATTCTGTTTAATGACCAGGTGTCAGACAGATCTCACTTCTTGGCAAATCGGAGACATTTCCAATCTGTTAAGCTACAAAACAAAGCAGAGACAGCAAACAAGAACCTTTCTAGGAAAATAAGACAACAAAGAGAACATTTTGAGTCCAACGCGTACTGAAGCAGAACTTACATGCAGAGCACTCTCCCGCCTGACTGCCAGCCTGACACCAGAGCTGAGCCCTGACACGCAGACACCTCCCAGCCTCAAAGCTTGTGGACAAGGTGCGCTGAAGGTCCAGAGACAACCTAGACCTAAATAACTCAGATCTAGGGAAAATGTAAGGAGTAACGGACCCATCACAAGCAAGAGCTGTCACTTCCAGTGTCCCTAAGGAGCCTCACCTCAAGGGTTACTCTGACATTTCTCACTGAAAGGCAAGGAGAAGGCTGTATGTCCTAACTGCACAAAGAGAAGTGGGATGGTGGGTGCCGGGGTGCCATGTCCCAGCAGTGACAGCACCCAGGTGAGTGCCCGTGAGCGTGGGGGCGGTGGCGAAGACCGAGTCAGAGCAGCCCATCAGCTGGATGGAGCAGCCCGGGAGCAGGGAGAGGGAGTGGGTCTCCATGGGCCAGCTCTGGGTGTGCAAGCAACCGTGTATCCCCAAGGATGAGGGCACAGGGGAGTCTGCGATGGGACCATGGGGGTCCCAGCCATTTCCGTGTGTGTGCACAAGGACAGTGAAACAGGCTGAACCACCGACTGGAGTGTGGCTGTGGGCCCAGGGGTTCACACGTCTTGGGGCTTCTTGCTCCTTTTGAGCTTTGGTCAAGGTGCTGTCCTTATCTTCAGACCTCAAGAGAGCCCTTCTCATGAAACTGGTCCTTATCATTATCCAGCACTTCGGAAAACAGTGCTGCTTCTCAGCAAAAAAAGTTCTAAACGAGATCTGAGGTACAACCTCTATGCAGAGTCTGTAGAAGAATTAGCTGACGAGAAGATTTTGGCTAGTAGCAAAACAATTACAGCTGTGAAAAGACAGATGAGTATGGATGGGCAAGTCTCCATCTATGCAGAATATACATATTAAAAACATCACAGAAAACTGATCTCTTAACTATTTTGACACCACCTAGCAGGATATAGAGTCATAGAATCACAGAACAGCCCAGGTTGGAAGGAACCTCGAAGGACCATCTGGAGCCCAGTGGAGATTATCCAGCACCCTGTGCAACCACATCTTGAACATCTCCAGTGATGGGGACTCGACCGTGTCACTGGGGAGGTTCTTCCAGTGAATGAACGTTCTCACTGTGAAAAACGTCTCTTATATCAAGATGGAGCATCATCACGTAAAGCATCAACAACTACTGCAGGAAGGGCTGGCCAGGAGCAGCCTGTCACCCCCCCTGCTCCCCCCACAGCACCAGCACCACAGAGCAGGGGGCACGAGGGGCCAGAGACACCCAGCCCCCAGCTGCTGGGAATGCAGAAAAAGAATCAAGGCAGGAAGAATCTGAAAGCACAGGCTGCATTCCATTGGTGTGAACGGGATCAGCAGCCAACTTCCAAAAAAAAACCTGCTCTGACATCCTTCTGTACCAAACATGGGCATGGATAAATCAATTTTCTAAAAATTTCTAAGAAAGGACTCTCACATGGTCAGAATGTATTTGAGAACATAAAGCATAACGCAGTATAAGAGGCCAAATCACACGATACAGCAGTTATGCTGACATGGCAGTTCCAAAAATACAGGTAATGACTTAGGAGCGTCCACAGGAATTCAGAGGGACCTGAGCGTTAGGACAGCCACATCTGAAGTCTGACAGGGAAACACTGCTCACACAACACACAAAAAAGGAAACTGAGGCAGGACAGTTTCCCACAAAAGACAGCAAACATATGGAAACTTGGCACAGTACTGAAAGACACAGAATCTGAGAGCGTGCTCAAGGGAAAATCAGCTGGGGACAGGGCGGAGATTGAGGGATATGAAAGACCTATAAGGAAACAAAATCAAATTTACTCAAAAAAAGGAGCACAAGACATGTTCAGCATTTTACTTTTTGTTAACTTTATTTTTGCATTTTTCTGTCCCAACTTTCTTTGGAAGGCTATCATCACCTTTTCTGCTTAATATTAGAGTTTAAGCCCAGTCCTTGCAAAAATTTACCAGTGAATTTATTTTTTGATCCTATAAATAGTCTCAAAAACTTTATATAGATGCCATTTGCAGGGCTCGCTTGTTACTATGCACTAACAAAACTAAGACACATCTGAGCTTAGCAATGCACTCTGCAAAATGACGATAGAAAATAGAAAATTCACCATTTTTTTTTGACTAAGAGGCTGGTTAGTCAAAAACTTGGAAACGACAAAAGCTGTTCCAGTTAAGAAGAAAAACTGGTGCTGGAATCAGGCTGTTTCTCTTAAGAAATTCTATTTATTTACAAGGAACACACAAATCCTGTTTCCATAAACAGAAAAGAACAACCAGCAAAGGACACTGCTGTAGAACAGGCATTTCCAAAATTGTTTCTGCCAACATTCAGCTACACATCTCTCTCTTTTTAGACTCTTTTTTTTTTTTTTTAAACAGTAACATTCCCAGGGCTTTTTTAGGCTCCTCTAGCGCTTTTCTGCAGGCCAATCTCTCCAGCCTCTCTCCTTCACCTCTGTCCATGTTCTGCCCTTCCTACACACAAAGTACCTCTTCATCCACCACCATCTGACAGAAGCACTCCCATCCCACAGAGGCACATTTTTGGGGCAGTGACAATGCTTGGATTCAAACTGCTGCTGCTTGTTAAATAACTTGGCAAGTTCTCACAGCTCTCTTTCGAGGGAAGGGCATTTAACACGCTGGTTTCACAACATACCCACAATCATAAGGCAATTTTCAAAAGAGGACATACCAAGACGATTTACAGTAATGCAACGTACCTTATTCTCTTTGTATCTGCTGAGATCTGCTATACAGTACTCTTTGAACAATTTATCATAATACTTCTTTGCAAGCCTCTTCTCCCTATAACGAAAGGTATTATTTTTTATTGAATACACAACATGATACAATTCATTTTACATTGCAATGAAATTAGCAAGACAAAGATGTTGTTTCATCCAAAGAACACAAGCTGCAGAGCTAGAAATGCAACAGAAATACACTCATTGAGCCAAGGGGTCGGTTCGACAAAACTGGAAAAGTACATCTAGTATGTATCTACAGCAAAAATCAAACTGTATTTTTTCAAACTAGGCTTCCTTCAGAGTTTTCTGAAGTTTTCGGAACAGTCATTTGGATCTCAGAGAATGCATAAATATCCGAGTTCTTTCTCTCATCAATTCATTTTGCCACTGAGCAACATTATATTACAAATGCATTAGAGATCAAAGAACGATCATTAAGTATGCACAGTAAGTCTTAATTAGTAACGGACACCACAAAATTAGTACAAGTGATCTAAAAATAACATGTTCTATAATAGTTGCAGGTACCAATTCATATCTGCTTCATCATCTTCGTTCCACAGGAATCTATGGTTTTCTCTAATAACGTCAAGATCCGTCTTGTCATTCGCTCTATAAAAGGACACATTTTTTTCAGTACAATGTAACATTAAAATGAAAAGTCAGTCCAACAGCAATTTGTTAAACATCAGTATTTCACAGTTGTGATCTCCACCTCACCGCAGAAAGGAGTAACTTGCTATGAAATAAAACTATCAGAAAATGTATTCCCTGGCGTACCTTTTCCCAAAGAAAAAATTCCCAGTGGAAAGCAGTCACTGTGGATGACTTGATCCTGTCTGAAAACACTTTTTGTACTTTTTGTCCAAGACAGTAAAGTTATAAGGCAGATAAAGATAGCTCTAAAGAAAGTTATCATTATTCTGGACAATGGATAGCAATTCTGCACATTTCAGAAGTATTTCAGACTGTTACCTGAAGGCACTGCCAGACATTTCTTAGTGCACCCTCAATTAACACTCACCTGTCATCTCTCCTCTTACGTAACGAAACAAGAACAATTCTGCTCATAGGAAGTTCTTATATAAAATAATGGTGCAAAATGAAACAATTCTGTGGTTTGGATATTGGTAATGACTGTAGTTACTACTTGTGATCCAAAGAATTAGTGGTTTGATACACAGCCACACTCCCCAGGTATAACATGTGTTTAACAGCTTTACAGCACAGGGCACTTTGGGGGCACGAGGGCAGAGACTGCTAATGGTTCTTACCCAGAGCGTCGGAAATCCTCTCTTTTCCCACCATAGTACAAAATGTAGTCCTTCACCAACTTCTTATGTCTTTCATACTGAACAAAGCAATTAAGGATTGTTTCAGAACTTATCTTCTTTTATTCTACCAAAATTTTTAAGTTATCTGCTTTAGTTTGGAGAAAATATGTAATGCTTTTTCTAGAATACTTCAGCCTCAGAGACATGATCCGAAATACATTTTATACCATAATTTGAGCAAAAATATGTAATTACTTATACCAAAAATAAGCGTCTTCACAAATAAAAACATTATGTATGGCTTCTTAAAAATATTTTCAATTAACTTGCATGTTGCTTCTGAAGCAGCAAATTAGGAAATATATTATATCCTGGTAGAAATCCTGGCAACTACCACATCAATGTAAACACTCTGCATCAACCTACTATTTTGACACGCATTTGAATTTTATTGCAAAAACATTTTATTTTCCAAGGGCCCCCAAAAAGCTAATTTAACCTCAGTACATCTTTTTTTTCGTCTTTCCACCACAAATAGAAGGACCAGGGAAGCAAGCCCAGAAGGTTTAACTGGCACAATTACACACATTTAACATAAGGTACTATTTTGTGCTGCCATGTGAGTTACTGGGTGTTAAAACTGCCTAACAGTGAAGATTTAAAATAGGAACTACTCAAAAACATTAGCAGAAACTCATGAAAGTCTCTCCACAAGGAGCTTTGTAGCCATTCCAGAATATATAGGTTTTTCTGTGGCTAATGACAGCCTACAGTGTCCGTGGGACCGATTCCGGTATGTGTCCCCGGTACGATGGTTTATGTCGTGCCTGGCCAAATTCTAACAGGTCATGAGAAGTTACTTTCTGTTTCCTGGAGTTTCCAGATTTAAGTTAAGTCTTTCCATATTTAATTAGTCTTTACTTTCCTATTTATTAGCTGTTACTGTTGAAGAACAGCTATTTAAACAAACAAGGAACTGATGGTATTTCAGATAAACTCAGTCAAAACATGTAATGACTGCCCTAGGTGGAAACTAAATAAAAGAAGAAAGGTTGTGATCTAAATAAGGTAGTAGTTATGAAAATAGTCATAAATTACGCATGAAATATTATTAAGAGATTTAAAAAAAAACTAAAATAAAACTGCACATGATATTGAACAGACTTAGGTTACAGCATCTGTAGAAGATATTACTGGAGATAACCCTGGTTTGAGTAGACTTTTGAATTAACTAATGCATTCTTAAATGTCCAGTAGAAACGTATTTGTCCACAGATGATAGCAGCCCTATATAGAATTATGTTCTGTATAAAATGAACCGAAAGAGCAAAGTTTCTTTGTGCCAGTCTAAATAAAATGCGCTGTATAATAATTTTGTCCCAACCAGGACAAATGAGCACACAGGAAGAATCTGGAAATGCCTGTACTGAGCAGAGATGCTCTCAGAGACCTCCCAGTAAGAACAAGAAGGTAATTTGAGGGACGACTCAGAATCTGGTGCTGCACTGTCAGCTCCTGGGATAACTGAGAAATCCCTGTATTTCACCGCAACGGATAATCTGTGTCCCATCTTCAAACATGAAGAAAAATGGAACAGAAGGATACAGCATCCATCGATATCAAGTGAAATCGTCTTTTTCTTGCTTCTTCCCTGTTAATAACAAATACGTTTGAGTGAAAGATATCTTTACATGAAGGAAAAAAAAGCCTCACAAAAGCAATAGAGAAAGGTACCTGTCCCATTCTTGAGCTGCAAACTGTCTGTGAACCACACTGCCTTGTTTGGCTTTTTGGAATGGCTTGGTGAGAAGGCCATCTTCCTTTGTGCTAAAGGGCAGGGGGGAAGCAAGAAAAGTTAGTCAATAACTTTTCATAAGCATAACATTTCCATATGCCAAACTGTGCACTAACTTGAGTAACAAGGCCTGTTTATTCTACACAAATAAAACCAAACTTCAGAACCAACATCAGCTTAGACTTTACTTCGTCTGCAGAACAGAATCGGAAAGACATTTCCTTACAGTTACCATTTACGGAAAATTCCTTAAAACAGCAATTTGTAATACTTCTTTTTATCAGCATTATCACTACAGAACCACACGAACACCCCTGAAGGCTCCTCAGTTTCCCTCTGCAGTTAAAGCCCTCTATAAATCTCAGCTATGCAGCCAAGGCACAGGAAGGACAGTCTGTTCACCGAGTGACTGCCAGTAACCCTATACCCTTTCACACTAATGTCTCCACACCTCATTAAACAGCTCTGCCTCTCAGTGTAATCACAAGAATCGCTAATTTGAAACGTAAGTACTGTGTTGTGAACCACCCTTGTCAGTGGGCAGCCAAAAATATTTTCAGAATTCAACAAAGTAATAAAAAGTCAAATATAAAGTGATGCACGTTACTAGTAAAAGGTATATTTAGTTAGTTTCATTCCTCAACAGAAGTGAAGATTTTTCCATAATTATCAGCTGGCAGAAAGAATGGAAGTGAGAAACCTGTAGAAAAGAAGCCAGGGAATTTATATTTCAAGCTATGGAATATAGGACTCTAGAAACTAAGGGTACCATTTGCTCAGAAGGATCTGTAGGCACAAAGTTCGTGTCAGCAGACTCCATGAAAGAGCAACATGGAGAAACCCTAAGACTACTATTTTCCTTAAAGTGAAAATAAATACCACGACAGAGCAAGAAAAGGATGTGTACACATACAGTGAACTCGTGTAAGAGCCCTGCTGGGAACCAGCCACAGTGTGCCAGGACAAGGGCAACGACGGCATTTTTGAAAGGCTCATGATGGTTATTTAACATTCCACCTAGAAAGTGGACTGGTATAATAAGTAACGGCATTTTATAGAAAATGAAAACTGAACAAAACCAGTCACTGTTTTAATGGGGAACAGCTATATTTATAAAATAAATGGAACAGCACAATGCCTACTATTATTCCAGTGATTAAAACATGATTTTTTTTCCCCCTCAATGCAGTCAGACACTACAAAACCCATTCTTTCAATTTTACTAGAAAGGAAAATATGCATAGGTCCTAGGAAAGTTTCCAGAAAGCCTTCTTAAATAAAGTCCAATAACAGAGCAAGGGAGAGACAAGAAAAGGTAAGAAAAATACACACATAACGTAGGCAAGATGTTCAGTACAGTGCAGAAAATGTTGAAGGAACCGTGGTGCCAAAGCACAATATATAAATAAATAAAAATCTTAATAATATAATGAGATCAGACTACAAAATTCAAGGTCACTAATTGTGTGAACCACTGAAAGAACTGGCAAAGGTGACCTCAAATAAGAGATGTGCAGCTACATTTCAAGGATTGAGTACAATTCACCAACTCCTAGCCCTCTTCACAAAAGAAATAATTAACAAGTAGCATCGGTTCTTTCCTTCCTCCAAGCAGGTGGTTTAGATCTACAAGGCTTGCTGCCACTTGGCCTTTCTTTGCCTTGCTCTCTTTGCAGGTCCCGCACCCCGATGGATGGCAGGGAAGTGACCAGGGCAGCCAAACCCCAACAGTCGATACTAACGCTCAGAAAAATGAAACACTGCCCCGAGAACTGGGGGCACAGAGACACCAGATGGACGTGGCAGAATGGATCTCCATCAGCTGCCCCTGGGAGATGACACACTTTGGCAAGCTTGACATGAGGAGACGTAGAAATCAAGGAGACTGATTTTTTCAAAATTCATTTCAACACCACACTTTCCATACCAAACACATAATGCAAAGTGTTAATTCTCTACTACATTTACCTTTTAGTCTTCTGCACAGACTTCTCTCCGTTCTCCTCATCGCTAAAATCAGAATCGTAGTCTCCATGGCCACGTGCCTGAAAGCAACAGTGACAGTCACTGTACCTGCTAACGCAACCAGGAACCAGCACTGTCCATCAGGCATCAGTAAAAGAGAGAGAGACAGAGAAGCACGCGCAGATCTCACCTATGTCTGAGCCAAATCAAATACAACAGACAACGCAGAGTATACGCCAAATAACAAAGGGCAAAGAAAGACATCGTCAGTCTGTCAAAAGACAACTTCATAAATAATTTATGTGCAGATGTCCCCATATTCAATTTTCACACAGATACAGATAAGCAAAAGTGTGCTAAACATCTTTCTTCTTCACTTTCAGACAATCTCCCTTATATAAGAGAAAGGTGAGTATGTTCCCCAGGGGCTGCTCTTTCAGAGAGCTGGATGGCAGCACCTGATGTGCTCACGTTATAAACAAAGATGAGAAAAAAAGTTTCTTGGGCTGGATAAGGCACTTCAGATCATTGGATCTTACACTGGTAGCTGGAAAGTTGATTGAAATTATAATTAAAATACAATATGCCTGCAAAAATATGCCACCTAATCAGCACAACATTCCTACCATGAAATGAAATATTTTTTTCCACACACTTTGGGACTATGATGTCAAATTAATGCATATAAAAACTCCCAAATATCCCATATCTTAATGCCATCAAACAATCAAGCACTGACTGATGCTCAGATCATCACCTCCATTTCTCAAGGCACAGTTACATGCCCAGTTCTTCCAGTGGAAGTAATGGATTAAGTAGATCCCATCTCCTCTCCCTCCTTTAAAAATATCATGATAATCCAGGAATGTTATAAATGGCAAAAGCAATGCTTCCCAGATGAACACAAAGAGCTCCCCTCACACTCAGAAGGGGAGAAGGCCCAAGCCAACACAACGTGCATGGAAGTCAACACGAGACAGGCGAAGCATAAAAGCATGCCAGAAGAGAAAAACCCAAACAAAAGGAGATTTTCCCAAAGTGATTGCCCTCAGAAGATGGGCCCCAGGAAAGAGGTAGCCATACTCTGTAATCAGCTCCCAGCTGATTCCAGGAATTAATCAAATAATTTTTAAAAAGGTGCAAGAAAAGCTGTTCCCAGAGAGTTATACTGTGAGGCTCTGGGAAGCTGTGACTGTGAGGGCTGCACGGCTAAGGGTAACAACAACCCAGATAGGGAAAACAGAGTTAGGATTTAACTGTATAAAAGAGGGGCAGATGCCAAAGCCCTGTGCCCAAGCCAGTAGATCTTAGAATAGGCAGGCAAAACTGTCAAGAAAATTTAACATAACTATTTTCATTATTTGATAAACCCTTTAATATAATCTTTGCTTGGATGGAATTTGTCAGAAACTCAAAATGCTTGTAAATTAGTAAGGTAAATACCAAACACTTTGTTAAAACATGAACCTGAAAGCTACATAACTTAAAGAATACAGTGTTTTGTTCCTTGCACCACCTTTGAACTTTTTTCTTTTCCCCAAACAACAAAACAAACAGAAAGCACAAAACCAAAACAAGTACCAATGTGCTTTGGAATACACTGGAATCACTGACATTTAAGTGAGCCCAATATCTTGCATTAATTAATAGTGAAGCAACTGGGGACAGAACCACTAACTTGGGGGCTCCTAAAAAAGGGGAAGGTACACACAGTAAGTGTAGAAACCCTGGCCACAGCCGAGGGCAGAGGGAGGGGATGTCAACGCAGGAGACAGCGGGCTCCCCAGCCCCGCGCTGGCAGGAGGGGTCTGCACCCAGAAAAGGCACTGGGGTAAACACGGTCACACAGAACCGTTCACCTGGGCTCCCGACCACAACAGGCTGATAAACAGAAAAAGGCAGTTTAAAAAAAACAAAAAGGCAAACCCATCCTACACAAAAATCCCCAACCCATGGCCCCCGGCCTCAGCCCTCACCTCGCTGCTCCCCTCAGAGTGTCACCCCCAGCCGGTACAAACCAACCGCTCGGGGAGGGTCTGAGGGGACAGGGGTTGGAGGAGACCTCCTCACGCTCGGCTGCCAAACCATCTTCCCACCCTGGTGTTGGTTTTGAGGCCTTACAGCCCCCACTTGGGGGAAAAACCTAGAGTCGGTGCCGTTCGCTTCAAACCCACTCCTCCTCCTAAAACCAGCGATGAGGAGCGTTTGTGTGTGCTGTGCTGAGCAACGACACCCCCGGGACACTGCCCCTTTATTACAGCTCTAAAACTACCACAGGAGCAGCAGGGCTCAAAGGCAGGCGACAGCCGACCACGGCAGCGAGGGTGAGCGCTTTGTGAGGCTCCACGGAAAAAAATCACACCAAAACCGGCCCGTGTGGGCCCGACGCCGCTTCCGAAGCCGTTCCCATTCCCCGAGCGCCGCCCGGGCCTGCTCCGGGGCCAGACCGGACCCGTCCCGTCCCGCCGCCACCGGAGCGGCCCTCGGGCCCAGGCCGCGGCCCCAAGGCTGCCCGCCCGCCGCAGGGGGAGGGCGGTCAGGCCCCTTCCCCGCACAGGCCCCGCTACCGGGCCGGGCCCGCCCCGTCACCATGGAGGCCGCGGCCTCCGCCGAGGCCTGTCCGCCCCTGCCTCCCTCCGTCCCTCCC